CCCTCACATTATTTTGAGCACACAAAAACGTGGGGTGGCCCCCACTCATGTGGGAGGTCATCCATTTGTGTCCCAATATGTACAATCTGTCTCGAAAATTGTATTTCTCGGATTGTTTTAATTATATTTTATTATATCGGGCCAAATAAAATGTATCACACGTTCCTAATAATTATAGGCCTTTAGAATAGATGTACATTCCCAAACATTAATTTAGGAGTCTCTGAAATTCATTTTGGGCTATTATCCGATAAATTATCAATAACGGAAACTGGGCCTCGTTTAACCAACGGGTCAACTCTATGCCTTTTCTATGGCCCAACTAAAGTATCCACCACCATATACATATTATCTAGACTAAGATGAATATAATATTTGGTTCTGGGATTATTCAGTGGTCCCTGTTCCCGGTGTGGGCCCCACGTGCGATTTACTATTCACGCAAAAGGAATAACAAAAATTTACAACTTTGCAAATTCATAATTCATTCTTCAAGGTTTATTACATGATTTACTAAAAAGTAAATATGCTTGGGGACGGTGTCACACAACATGTTGCATATTGTGATTGAGGTTACATGTTGTGATTGGTAGCGATCGATTTATTTTTCATTAGATTGAGTTGTTAAATGTAATATGATTTTATCAAGTAAAATATGTAATATTGAACGAAGAAAGGTTTGAATCCTTTAGGCTTTTAATAGGCAATTTTTATCTAAAATGTTAGATGAATTAAATCTATAAAAAGATTCTCATCACATCAAGAGTTAAGTATCAATCCGTGCAATAAAGTAAAAAAAGACAAATGTCACACATTCAGAAGTGAAAAAGAATACAAACATCGAGAGGTATTATATTAAAGTTACACTCATGAGTAAAAGAATTACATTTTATACACGGTCTAGCTTATTTATCTAGCTTTTAAACATCACTTTTAATATTAGGATATGATTGCAATATACGAAGTATGTAAAAAAAATAACATTTACTTTCCTAGATGTGATAAAAAATGGATACCGATTGAAAATATCATTGATTAGAAATGTGAACATAAATTTGAGATATCATTACGACAAAGGTGTATTTAGCAAATATTAACACTTAAGATAAATTTGAGTGCAAAGATTAATGATTTTTAGGAATGGTTTGGAAGTTATAAGAAACTTTTTGAAACATTGACCTATAGATTAAATGAACTCATTGCATAAATTCATACATGATTAAAATAGGAAATTACCCTAAATAGGATTAAAACGTTTGTATATTCCAAAATATGACTATTATGTTTTTATTCCCTAAATAGGACTAATTACTGTCATGTTTTGGTAGAACCATACTTTAAACATGACAGTATTTACCAAGCTTGCCATTAATTACTCCTATTTAGAGAATAATAATATGACAACCCTAATTTAAAATTTTGAAACACTTTTACTCCTATTTTGGGAATTTTCCCGAATAAAATTCATGTTCACAATTTTGAAATATTTTTAAGATTTGTTTTCTCAATTAGATTGTAATGAAGGAACTAGTTTTTGAGGTTATTTGTATCATTTTTATATGTCCTTTTTGTATTTGAACACCAAATCATGTGTTATCATCTCAATTTTTGGTGACAAATAAATATTTACTCCTGAATACTTTACTCAATAAGTTAATCTAATTTTGTATGCCTATCTCATGTCTGCTTGTATAGTAATTAACTCCATATTAAGCTACTACCTCCGTCCCAAAATAGATCTGCAAAGTCAAATTTTATTGATCAAGAAGTTTTATTTTATTCACTTTTTAGGATAGATATCAATTTTTAATTGTACTTTAATTTGGGTTTTTGGAATCTTATAGAGATTTTATTGTAGTTTCTAAATATGTAAATTATAACTATTAAATATTGACTTAATTGCCCATAGAGAAGACTTGACTTTTAACATTGATTGATAAAAAAATAGTGTCTTCGCTAATTAATTTGAGACTGAGGGAGTAATTAACTCCAAAATTCACTCATAAATACTTCCAGGAGATTTGTTTAACCTTATCAAACTATTGATTTTTAAATATTATTATGATATTATAGTATAACTTTAAATTGAAAATGCTAAATCACTACTATATATGCTGTGTATTACATTATTGCTATTATATTTTTTAGAGCTTTTTACAAGAATATTACTAAAATAAAACATATTTACATAAATATGACTGTTCATTACTATAATGTGATGTTGTGGTAACTTAAGCTCAAAACTTGAAGATCAATTACTATGATTTCATTACTACTCTAGTCACTAGTCATATTTTTGTAAATCATCTTTAGTTTGGTCATGTTTATGTAATTATTTCTATTTTTTATTATCATAATCAACATCCTCACCATTATAATTTTTATTAGAGATTTATCTAAAGTCTTACTATAATAAAATTAATGGATAAAAGTGTGACTAATTATTGTAAATATATTTTTATAATTAAAACATTATGGATAAAAATTGACTATAAGTTACTATGAGTAGATTTTATAGTCATTATATATAACATTTGAATATAATTATTGTCACCAAAGTAATTAGGGTCGCATTTTTGTCCACTACTTTTATTTTGGTTTTTTTGAAAGTTTATTTTGGTTATATAAATGAAATTATTTCTTTATTTAAACATCCACTTTTAGTGAATAAATATTTAATTAACACCATAGAAATTAGTTATTAATAGGCTAAAGGGTCAAATAGACCCTCGAACTAACTTAAAAATTGCAAATGACCCCTTACATAGGAGGCTCTGTACGGCCGTCTCCATTTGGGACGGTTCCCGGTGGAATTTTTTTATGAAAGTTTTTGAACATCTTCTTCATTAAGTCTAGTTTACTCATACCAAATTTCAGCTAAAAATTCAATCGGAAAGACAACCAAATGAATTTTTGAAGATAATTGCGCAAATAGTGTACCGGTCTGATTAAAATTGCAATATTGTAACTTATTGAGGTCCTTTTTGTATATTTTCTAGATTAAAATAGTACTAGTAATTTTCTTTTTAAAATTAGTAATAGTGTAAAGAATATGAGCAATTGACGACAAAGCTACAACATTAATAGGCCTTATGATTAATGGCCCTTGACCCTCACGTGGCCAGTTGCTGACCACATTTGATTTAGGTGAAAGACTAGGCTGCTAAGACATCTCCTATGGCTCAATCATAGTAACCTCCACGCTCCTTAACATAAGAATTGAAAGAAATATATATAGCCGCACTGGTAGCTCAGTTGATCGAGTGCTGGGAGATTTGGAACAATGGACCAAAGTTCGAATTCGGGACCGGGTGGAGGTCACAGAACCTGAAATAAGGCTGGGTCTCTGGTGCGCACGAGTGTATGGGCCTACTGCCATTCTGCTGACTGAGTCACCGTGACTAACCTCCCCACCATCCTGTCGGGTCGGGGTGGGGGGCTCCTGGGGTGGGAGATTTCTACCTTTTGGAACAATGAAAGAAATAGATACTCCCTCCGTCCCATTATTAACTTCGGTTTTGACTGGGGACGGGGATAAATTTGTGTGGTGGAGAGTTGTGCAGATCATAGAGAAATGTGTAAGAATGATTGTGAACCACATATTCTTTATCAAAAAAGGAAAGAGGAGATAAATTTGGGACGGATCGAAAAAGAAAGGATGAAGATAATTTCGGGACGGAGGGAGTATCACATACACTACTTCTACTTCATATAAAATTTCAAATCGTGGAATTTTAAAGTTAATTGACTGCAATAAGTAAACTAGTTTTACTTAATTAAAATTATGTATTCAAAATTATATTGAGAGTTATATAAAATCTCAAAACTCAAGTTAGAATATAATAAACAATTGATATACTAAATAAGTAAATAAAATGAAATTGTATTGACTAATAAAAGTTGACTTTACCAATCATTTTGCAAGAGATCGAGTATTATTTTAAAATAAAACACCCTTTGTTCCAAAAAGATTGTCCAATTCTACATTTCTTGATCGGTATTAAAGTTTAGATAATAATTTTAGGTATTACATTTGTATGTAATTTATAAATTTTATAATTTTATGAAAGTTTTTTTGATAAAAAATATGCTCAGATAATTTCATATTTAAATAATTTTGTACTACGTATTAAAGAATATCATTGGTTATACTTGACCACAATTGACCAAGAAAAATGAATTTGACCCATTCTTTTAGAAAGAAAGGAGTAGATAGAAAGAGATGTGTACTTTAATTACGCAATATTGTACGAGATTTTTGTAAACATCCTTGAATTTTCCCTATATATGCACAAGTAATTCATCAAAACAATGCGAACAATTTGAAAGTGTTTATGGAAGCTGAATGAAAAGTGTCTATAAAATAAAAGTCTACAAGACTACACCCTTGCTATATCATATTACATCCGTCCCGAAATGGTACGTCATATTGACATTTCTTGGTCAATGATGACAAACTTTGGACAAAGATTTTGATTATTATATTTGTATATAATTTATAAATTTTATACTTTAATGAAAATATATTGAATAAGGAACAATTTGATATAATTTTCATATTCAAAATATTTTCATATTCAAGAGGGAGTAACTGTTTTTAATATTGTGTTGTCATAATAATATATTACTATAATTTTTTTTGCATATACATCTATATTACTATTACTATAAATTTTTATTTTGGCATATGTGTATTACAATTAAAAAAAATCCATCCATCTTTAATAGGACGAGAGTATTAAGAGCATTTTCAATGCTACAATATGGATAGTGCACATATGTTTTTGGTAAGTCTTTCTTTGCAATGTCAGTGACAATGTCTACATCTAGATATTATGTTTGACATTAGAACCAAAAGCTTACCAAAATGATATAGAATCATTCATATAAGGAGAGATATATTTTTATTTATTATTGTTTTTTTTATTTGGTTTTCTCTAATCGGAGATGAGCTAATTGGAAAACATGAGTATTAAAAAACTTCACCTACCTAACCTACCGAACGATCCAATGAAATATCCCTATTTTTATATGAGACGAGAATATAAGATAAGCAACCTTCGCCCAATTCAAAGCGTTACTGGTACTACTAAATCCTAATCAGCAGCAGCAGCAGCTATGGCTATGGCGTCGGAGACAGTGAAACTGCTGGGCGCATGGGCAAGCCCATACGTGATCCGGGCTCGGGTCGCGCTCAACCTCAAATCCGTAGACTACGATTTCCTCGAGGAGAAATTCGGGTCGAAAAGCGAGCTTCTACTGAAATACAATCCCGTCTACAAGAAAATCCCTGTTCTCGTTCACAACGACAAACCAGTCTGCGAGTCACTCATCATTGTGCAGTACATTGATGACGCCTGGAGTTCGGGTCCGCCCATCTTGCCTGCCCATCCCTATGACCGGGCCATCGCCCGCTTCTGGGCCACTTTTATTGACGATAAGGTAACAACTATTTTATACTCTAGATACATCTCCCTTCCAATTTTATGCAAGTTTTCATTAATAATATGGCTTTACGCTTCCGCTCCTATCCCTAGCTTCATGTTCACATTCTATTTATTTCACTCAAATAATCCCTAAATGCACAATAGGATTATAGTGTTCATTTTCCCAAAAGGAGTAAAGCTATGTTACAGTTCTAACTTACCATAGGAAATTCATTTTTTATTTACAGTAAAAAAATATTTCCTCCCTATACTTTTCTTTTTTGGCTGTATTGAAAAATTCCCTACACTTCCATTTTTGATAAATTTACCCCTTATAAAATATTCAAATACCTTTATCTAATCTCTTTTTATCTTCTTTTTCATACTTTTACACGCTCTTTTCTACTTTTTCTACAATATTCAGTACCCCTACTACTTTACTCCTTATGTAATGTGTTCAGTCTAATGTAGTGAACATTAAAATACGGAGGGTGTATTAAATTTAAAAAATAAAATCATAGCAAAAAAAATCAAAGCTTGAAAAAATATACGTCCCCGTATTTAAAAGTTTACTACAATATGTTTGAGCACATTATTTAAAGATAAATTAGTAGGAATAATGAATAGTGTATAAAAGTAGAAAAAGTAGTGGAAAAATACAAATGAAGAGATAAAAAGTAGCAAAAGGGTGATTACGTACCTTTTAAGGAAAAGCTTTTCAAAATGGGAAAGTGTAGCGAACTTTTAAAATACATCCAAAAACGGAAAATGTATCAAACTTGAAAATAAATAGCATATACTCCCTCCGTCCCCTTTTAAATGTCCCATTTTACTATATTGGGATGTCCCTATTTAATTGTCTCATACCTTATTTGGTAAAGTTTGTGTGGCTCAAAATCATTCTTACTTTATTCTTACTTTATCTATTAGTATTAACCACACAAACCTAATTTTCTTAAAACTCGTGTCACCCTCTTCCGGGACATTTAAAAGGGGACGGAGGGAGTACTCCGTAAAACGCATAAGAAATATAAAAGCCTTTACCATCGACAAAGAAATGTCTTCTTGGGTAAAAAATGTCACTTTTCTCTAATGTATGTTGGCATTAATTTTGTTGATTGAAGCCGGTGGTGCTGAAGGTGGCGATACGGCATGGCATGCATTTTTTTTATAATTTTTTGTTTTTGTTTTTGTTTTTTACAATGTTTATTTTTCTATTTTTTAATTTTTTAATTTTATTTGATATTTATTTTCATGTTTTTATCTTTTTACAATTTTATTATAAGTAAAATTATTATATTATTATCTTAAATAACAATATGATTTATATTAAAACATAGCTAGGATAGGATTGAGAAGTTACTCATATTTAGGGAATTTAAAAGTTGCAGAGCCAAAAAGTGACTTAGGGGATCGAAACTTAATCAAGTACGAACTACAAAATAAAAGAGACAGATTGTTTTTCAACAATTGTTGAGTTAAATATTTCACGTGTAGCTTAGATAAATCATAGTTTAAATGAGATTGATAGAGTTATTATAGATTTAACTAGTGTAAAGCCCGGGGCAATGCCCCGGCGGGCGTCAAGTTGATATAATTTAAAGTGAGAATACTAATAGATATTGTGAATTTGTTTACAGGATCCAAGGTTGAATATAGTGAATTTTATTATGAACTAACCACAACAATTATAAATTTGTATTTGTTAAATGATTATTAAATTATGAATCATCATATAGACATATATCAAGGTTTACACTTTATTTACACTTTCATCCATATGGCAAGGTTTTAAATTGCAACCACGTGTGAATATTGAGGCCGATGTGTGAATTAATTTTATGTCTGAACAAAATAAGAAAAAAATTTATAGTGTTGCGGTCCCGATGTGGCCCAATGCAGTCCGATGCGGCATGATATGGCCTCATGGTGCCTAGTTGCGGCCACATTACGGTTTCGTTGTGGTTATTTTACGGGTTTTTTCCGTGAGTCAAAATATCATCGTTGTTGCGGCTCGATGCGGTTGTGCTATGAACCACAACCGCAATATTGGGCCCACAATATTAAACTAGGATCCATATTTGTTTTACATCAGGTTCTGTTGCTCCCTCTGGCCTATTGTATATCATCGGCCACAATTTTAAGCGGCCAGACACGCTTTACTTCTTCCAAAAGAAACACCTTTTTTGTGATCAAAATATGAAACATTTCTTAAATTACCACTAAGTTTTTGTTTCTCACTTTGTCTTAATCTATCATTTCATCATTTACTTCTTTTTGGATGCATACCACATTTTTCTTACTTTTTACATGTTATAAATATAAAACAATCACTTTATCATAATTTGTAAACATGCGTCAAATCGAAACGTATCTTACAATGAGAATGAAGGAGTATGTGTTCCGGGAAATTTGACATTCATTTCAAGCATTTTTTATAACATAATTAAATGTTTGTTATTGTGTGACAATTTCGTGAAAATATCAGCTTTGCAGCACAAAATTAATTTCATTTATATTAACTCTTTTGTACATTTATTAATTGTGTGTTTTATAATGACTGGGAGTGCATTTGGAGTCTTGAATTTATCGTAGGAGATTTGATTTGATTATATTGAATTAGAGTTTTCTTTAGGCAATTTTGGTGCACATGGTATTGAGTGTTTTTCATTTTATTTAAAAAACTGTAAGATTCTATATGTATTATTTTATTCATTTGATTGGGTTTGAAAGAATGAAATGTAACCCCCAAAGTGGACGTCGGGGGTCACTTTCCATGTGGATAAATTTATCAAATGCACACCAAATCTGCAAGTGACTAAAATTACATGACCAATAGCAAATGCACCCAAAGTAACGGGATTAAATTCTTTAAGTTAAAGTATCCATTTGTAATTACATTATTCTCTAATTTTGACTGTGGATTTGTAATCACTTTAAGTTCTACAACTTTTAGTATAGTTTGTAGATATATATATATAATTTTGCATAATAAAATGAGAAAGATTAATTTTATGTTCAACCAACCTCTTAAACCTTTTTTGAAAAAAACAAATTAGGATGGAGAGAGTATATTAATATTATTTCTTGTTTTTGTGCATAATTAAAGAATAATAAAAATGTCATGTATCGATTTTTTATTGTTAAGATTTTAATTTGATGGTATTCATATTATATGCATATGAAGCTTTTGTTTCTATATTTACTAAAAGTGCAATTTTTGAATAATAATCGTATGGATAAGTTTTTTAACTTTAAGAAATACTAAAGTGAATATTTAGGGGGTGTTTGGAACTGATTCTGATTCTGTTTCTTTTTTGAAGCAGAATCAGAATAAGTTTTCAGAAGCTGGTCACCCCCAACTTCTAAAAAAACTGATTCTAGGAGTAAATTAGAGCACCAGAATCACTTCTTCACTTTACCCAAACACTCCAACTTCTGCTTCTGCTCCCTGAAGGAGCAGAATCAGTTTTAAGAATCAAATACACAAACACCCTCTTAGATACTTTCTAGCTTCTACACTACCTAGGACATCTCATTTTGCCGGACTGTTATATAACTTCAATTCTGAATGTTTAGGTTTATATCGTTTTAACTTTACTTGTTGGGTTTTGACACCAATATTACTAAAAAAGAACCTTGTTTTCAAAAAAGTGATCTTTTTTATATTTTCCAAGAATATGACTAATTAACATTTAGTTTTCCATATTACCCTTCATAAGTCAACAACTGCGGTATGTTGCATTCTGTATGTTGATAATTATATGGCGTCAAAGTGCAATGCCTACCAATGCATCTGCCAAACATTACAAACTCTAAAAATTAATGTTGCATTTAATTTTAATATTATTTCTAAAAATAAATATTTGGATATGGAAATATAATGTCTTAAATATTTAAACTATTACACCAATTTTTTTGTGAAATTTGTCTCGGTTACTACCGTTCCAGTGACCATTGGTCCAAGTTACTAACTTACTGTCGTTCCAGTGACCACCATTCTAGTTAATACCGCTCAAGTGACCACCGTTCCAGTTACAACCGCTCCAGTGACCATCGTTTCAATTACTATTGCTCCAGTTATAGTTACCTGACCCGAACAATTACTTGACCAGTTAAAGTTACCTGACTCGACCAATTATAGTTACCTGACCCGATCAGCTACCCGTCAAATTATAGTTACCGTACCCGATCAGACGAATCAGTTACAATTACACGACCAGTTACAGTTACCTACCCCCGACGGGTGATTATTACAATTTCTTGATCCGATCAATAACATGTACAGGCGGCAACCACTGCCTCCGGCCACTGTCGGCGACCCTGTCCAGTAAATGTTGCCCTATCCCCCTAGACCACTCCCCAACTCTGCAGCCTCCTTTGGCCACAGCCGGCAACCAACACCACCCATCCCCCATCCCCTCCACTGCCCAAAACCTCAGCACTCGACCCCTTTCCTCTTCTCCTTGACTAGTACTCCGCACCCCAAACCCCTGCATTCCCCCCTCTTCCCTTCTCCCCTCCGAACCTTATATCTCCCTCTTCTCCTCAGATCCCCTCCCCTCTCAGCCTCCCAGATCCGATCGCCTTTCCTCGCTGCCTTTTAGCCAAAGCCACAGCCTTTCACCTTCACTGTCACTGAACGAGAATAACGAAGGAGAAGAAGAGTGACGGCGGCGTGGCAGATCGAGGTGGCCGGAATCACGGTACACGGAAGCACCGGTACTGTTGGTGGCCAGAATGCACCGGCGGTGCTTGGGAGGCAGGATGGACTTAAGGTTCTGATGATGTGAGCAAGTTGACCAAATCACGGGAAATGGGTGATGGGGAATTGCAGATACGGGGATAATGGGTGATGGGCTGGGGGTAATTTTGGATTATCAGTTGAAATAACCTTCTTTTTTGTCCAAATTCAAAAATTGTTGTCTTTACAACACCCCAGAGTAATATTCCCGTCATTCTTTCTTACTTGTTTTACGTTTTTTTCTTCATTCCTTTTCCTGTTTTTCTCCAGTTTTTTTTCTCTACGTGTTTTCCTCCAAATTTATTCTCCTACTTTTTTTCTTATCTCTTGCTGCGTTTTTTATTACTCGTTTAATCTATTCTTCTAATTAAACGTTTTAATTAAATGTTGATAACCAATAAGAGAGACACATCAGCGCTTTATAACTCCATTTTACTATATAAAACAATATATATACATGTCATATACTATGAATTTTTTTAAATGATAGTTTAAATGTACATTATAAATTCACTTAAGTAGTGAGCGAGTGAGACGCTATTTTTAAAACATGAGAATTTGATCAATAATAATATGTTAAATTTTAGTAGTTTCAAGTTTTGATCATGCTAATTTTTAAAGTTATAACATTTTATTTGTAATGAGTTACATGATTCATATGTATCAAATCAAAGTATTTTACTCGTTAATATTTTATTAGTCCGTATTTTTTTACTTACGAAACTTTTCTTCGAAACCTTATAAATAATTTAAAATAAAAACTTTTGGTACAAATGTTCATGCTCGTTCAGAGGACAAAAAATTGTGCTTATAAGCATGAATGTACAAAAAAATCACTAAACACCCCTTACATGAGTAGATTTCGCTGATTTTTATTATAAGCTGGAAAAGTAGTCCAACCCTTACTTTTTTGGCCGAATTCTTTATCATACAATCCTATGTTAACCAATTGAAAGACATATTTGTCCTCATATGTTCACGCGATACTTCCTTTTGGTCAATAGTGTTTTTAGGAATTGAGTTTTTGGGATGCATCAATAATGTGAAAATCATTTGCTAAACATACTTAGTATAAACTAAATAACAAAAACGATTCATAGTGGTCTGCCACCTGCCTTAACCTCTTTATGATAAAATAAAATTCTCTGAAATTGAAGTAACTAGGTACTACGTGCATAGGACTTCATCATCCATTATTTATTTATATGTGAGCTTGTTAATATAATTAATAAAAAGTTTAATTTTTAAAATTAACTTCTTTATATTAGGCAGTTTCAGTTGTTGCGGCCGTTACCAAACAGGCCTGAAGTATATGTGTTGATCATATTGCTCGAGCGAAAGAGTTGAAAAAAATATTTTAGATTTGAAGTATATGTGTTGATCATATTGCTCGAGAGAAAGAGTTGAAAAAAAAAGATTTTAGACAATGATTGAAAACATTAATCACAACAAATATGTCTCTACTAAATTTGACTCTGGTATGTGGGAAAGTTGTGTTTGCATGTATTTTCATGTATGGTGTTCACCTATATTTGTACAACAAGAAATAGGAGAACACTTTTGATCTTAATCTTCAATTTATGTGCTTCGCTTTAAGAGCCCGTCTGTAATACCCAAATCAGCTTGTGGGATGATTCTGCTTAAATTTCTGAAGTTTTGGATGAATCGACTGATTATGTTGATTTATGGAAAAAAAAATTATATTTAAAATATATTTTAATAATATGAAAAACATTTAAAATGATCTTCTACAGTAATTTCATCAAATACAGCGAGAAAATTAACCATAACCTTACTTTTTCTTATTACTACACACACAACCTATGCTGATTGTCTAGATAATTTCTTAATGTCTTCTTCTAATTTATATTCTTGTTTAGATTTGAGTTATTTAAATAGTACGTATGATTTATTGTAATTGATAAGTAATTCATTATCATGTACGTTTACATGATTTTGATTTATAATTTATTGTAAATTTTGTATATTAGTACATGTGTATATAATTTTGTTTGAAGGTACTCCACTTCATATAATAATTATGTTAAGTCATATATACGTTTGCCCCCAAAAATGAATTTGTAATGGAATATGGTAGAGATGAGATCAATTTTAGCCACCTCTGTTTGAAGCGACTGGATGACCTCCTCCGTGTAAGAAAGATCTCAAAATATATAATTTTGGATGTGATGGCAGTGGTTCCCAAGTCTGCGCGGAATAGCAATGGCGGGAGAGGAGGAGGGAAAAAAGGAAGCGGCGATAAAGGAGGTGGAGGAAGGGCTGGGTTTGCTGGAAGGCGCATTCCAGAGCTGCAGCAAAGGGAAGAAGTTCTTTGGGGGAGAGAGTGTGGGGTTCCTCGACATCGCGCTGGGAAGCAGCTTAGGGTGGGTCAGAGTCACAGAGCAGTTCAACTCCATCAACCTCTACGACCAAGCCAAAGTTCCCGGCCTGGCCCAATGGGCCCAAGACTTCTGCACCCACGACACCGTCAAGGACGTCATGCCTCCCACCGACAAACTGGCCGACTTTGCTAAGCTCATCTTCTCCAAAATGAAGAAATAATAATAATAATAATAATAATAATAATAATTGCTGCTCTCATCTCTTTCTTTCACCATGTTTTGTAATAAATAAATAAATAAATAAATAAATGCATTCCCGGCCCGAAAACATTTAAATAAACTTCCTTTCTTCACGCCCACGGCCTACCACTGTAAGCACAAAATCCATCTGGACCACAAAACCCTGGCAAATTATACCGTGCAACCGGCGCACCATGTGGATGGTGCGCCCGGTTGCAAAACGACGCAGCTTCTCTTTCTTTTCTTTTTTTCTTTTTTTGCTTTTGTTGTTTAAAAATGATAATAACTTTCTTATTTTTGATCCGATTTTTATAAAATTTATATCAACATTTTTTATTTTTCATGATCTTTCAAATGAGACCAATATTGCTTATGTAATCTTAAGAAATTATCGAACTATTATATTAATGAGTATTGGATTATAAGGAAAATCGAATCTGTTTGGGAAATGATATGTTTGTGAAATAGAAGATTGAATCTGTTTGGGAGTGGATCAGTGGTCTCAGTTACATTTGATAATACATTGAGTTACATCTTTTTATGAACGAGTTACATCTTTTTATAAGCAAGTTACATCTTTTTATAAGCAAGTTACATCTTTTGACACGAGTTGCATTTGACATGCCTGAGTTGCATTTGACATGCCTGAACGCGACTTACATATATTTACACGTAAAGTTACATATTTTTACACGTAAAGTTACATATTTATACACGCGAGTTACATATTTATACACACGAGTTGCATTTGACCTGTCTGAACGCGAGTTACATATTTTTTTTTACGTAAAGTTACATATTGTTACACGTAGAGATACATATTTATACACACGAGTTGCATTTGGCCTGACTGAACGTGAGTTACATACACGCAAAGTTACATATTTTATACGCAAATGTTAATATGTTAAAATTACATAGGCAATATTGGTCTCATTTGAAAGATCATGAAAAATAAAAAATGTTGATATAAATTTTATAAAAAACGGATCAAAAATAAAAAAGTTATTACCATTTTTTAAAAACAAAAGGAAAAAAAAATATAAATACGTACCGGTATACGGTGCTCACCGTACACCGGTGGTACGGTATAAGCACTCCAAAACCCCCGGACCCAACTGGACCCCAAAACTCCGAACGGATTGACACAATCGGAATGTTATTCCGTCCGATTTCAGCTTTTATAAAACCAATCATTTTGGTTTGAACCGGATTGAACCAGCTTTTGCTATACTTTTAAATGTATTTATTTAATGCTAATAATAATACATAGTATTAAATATTAAGAATATATTTAAAAAATAATAACAACAACAATCTATATACTAATAATAACAAGAAGAATATATTATTCTAATGTTATCTTCATCCATTTTATTCTTATTACCTTGATACATAGGCTTTTTTGTTCAAAATTATTACTAAAATAAAACTTATTTACACAAATATGATTAATAATAATAGTTATTACAAATACAATATAGTGTCATGGTCACATAAGTTTAAAAACTGAGCATATGTTATTATGATTAAATTACTATTATATTACCTCTGTCCCAACTTATTTAGTCATCTTTGACTGGAAGATCTTTGACTTTTCCAATCAAAGATGGTAATTTTTGACCAATTATTTTAACTAATATATTTATGCGAAATTTAATAATTTTATACTTTTATGATGAAATATTTAACATAGAACATTTTCATATTATCAATACTTTCTTTAAATAAACATATAATCGATCAAAGTGAGACGCCATTGACTTGAAAAGTCAAGTTTTGCTAACTAAAATGGGACGGATGAAGTAGTCACTAGTCACATTTTTGTAAAGAGTCTTTATTTTAATAATAAATATGTAACTATTTCATAGACATAACTAAATAACTAATGTTTTCTACTCTAGGCTCAAATTGGTTCAATCCTTGCGACTAAGGCTTGTATGTTGTTGTTCATTTCTTTCATCCATTTATTTCCCATTATTATATATAAAATTAGAAGTTATCTGATCGAGAAGTAAATTATTGAGATAATGATGTATATGTGGTTTATATCCAATCGAAATCTGTTGTGGGTTGGGGAATTTACTAAATTAGATACTTACTTCTTACGGCTACTGTATTGCATAAGAAATAAGAATTTGAAAATACTAGACCTAATCTAACTGTTGAGGTTTATTCCTTCAACCCGTAGGTCCAACACGTGTCCTAAGGGATTTCAAATGGAAGAGTAAGAAGAAAAGATGAAGAAACAAGCAAGAAGAGGCCCAGTAAGAAGTCTTAGTGCATTAAATTCGGTACAAAGGCCTGAGGCCGTTCGTTCCTAGCATACAAGACGTGAGGCCGTTCGTCCCTAGCCTATGCTACGAGCTGTTACAATGCTATATTATTAGAGTGCTTAGTTGCCAACCCTTTACAATGAAATAAACGCTCCTATTTATACTGTCAATGGGTAGTTGGGTGCACTGATGTGGCGGGTTGTGGACCGCTTGACCCCAACCATCAAATCTTCTACATTAAATGTGCTTCCCGCCAAGGGGAGGGGACATTCGTCCCATGAGCTTGCCTCCCCCTTCTGCTGGGATCTTGGCATCCAGCCAAGGAGGGGACGTTCCCCTTCCTGCTGGGATCCAAGTCCTTCATGAAGAACGTCTTGTACTATGTCTGGCCAAGGGACCTGTCGATGCTAGGATACGTACGTCCCCTTGGCCTTATATGTTGAGTCTGACCCTGTTGGGGATAAACCTCTGGAGAATCGTCGGAAAGGTACTCTGTTGCTTTGGGCCTTCCGAGGACCTTCGTAGGATGCGCTTAAGGGTTTATGGGTAATCCCCGCTGGGCCATTAACCCAACACGAGTCCCCCACTTCTGATGTTCCGAGCGTGCGTGGGACATAACGAAGTAGATTTGAATCCGACGTACGTCTCCTTATAATGCCCTTGTCGCCTCCAAAGTCGACGGGTCAGTGTCTCCCGACGTGTGTCCCCTTCAACTACCTGCTTTTCCGGGTGTGGTACCTTAGAACCGGACGTCCCCTGTGGGGACTACGCTCTTCTCTTCCTCGGAATGTTCCCAGGGGGTCTCACCAGGGAGCTGGGCTTAGGGGACGTCCGTCCGGTGGGCCTCGAAGTAAAATTGCCCCGTCGTATTGCCTCTAGCCAACGCCCCTGATGCAACAGGACGGTGTATTTCGAAGATAATGCTGGAGTCATTGTGAATCCAAAAGGAGAAGTGAAAGGGAGTACCATTACAGGACCTATTGGAAAGGAATGTGTTGATCTTTGGCCTAGAATTGCCCGTGCTGCTAATGCTATCGTTTAGAGTAATTGTTTTGATGTGCTTTGAGCTTTTATTGTGTTTATTAAGATATTATGATTTTGAATGTTGCATCTTTTCTTAAGCAATGTTCACTTTGCTATGATGTCAGAATTTTTGCAAAACTTTGAATTTGTCTTTAGAAACATCAAAGAAATATACACTTCATTGTTACATGCAATGTAAGTAACTAAATCCATTTCATATGACTTCTAACGGACTATGTGATCCACCACTAGTTTGAACAAATTATTATAATCAAGGGAAGGATAACGTACTGCATGTTCAAAACTAATTCACAGACCTGATGGTCAATGTGAGCTCCCAGTGGACAAATCCTCTAAGGCGATACGGCAAACCTTACTTCCTCTCCATCTCTGCCCGAGATTAATTCTACAAACTTTTGCCTTACCTTGTCCAACTGTCACATTACACAATGAGCGCAAATTTTAGATAGGAATGAAACATGTAAGCTTTGTTAATATAGGACATAATATGAATGGAATCTTTTTTCCCGTACCACCCCAAATTCAGGTTTTGAGAGAAAATAGAAACAAATCTTCACATTTCATCAGTTTGGTGAAGCAAATAAGGTATAGATTATGGGATGCATAAGTTGCTATAATAATACACTTCCAATATCCATAATGATAAGTCTTAATCACAATGCATAGCACTCTGACGTTTAAAAAGCATATTTACATGCAGTCATGCAGAATCAGCACACTGTTTGTTCTACATCAAGAACTGTGAGTTATATAGTAGACCCCTAACAAGAACACACATTTTAGCAAGAACACACATATTACCAACATTTTGAATTCTCACCCTAAAGTTACCCATTTATGAAATTCAAACTCCGCAAGATACAAGCACATGGTGCAGATATGCACTTGGAAACCCGATACTGAGTGGCATGCACAAAATGTAATGATGGCCCTTTTAAAAGGAATGAATGATCAGGATTGAGGGAGTGTGAGTATGGGATGGGGATCAAGAGAAATTACCATGGATTGAGAAGGCCAACCATGATTGGGGGAATTCGCAGATATGGGTTTGAATCAATGAGGACAAAGAATGGATTGGAGAGGTGGTGGTCGGTAAGGTTTGAATCAAAGTATGATTGCTTGAAGCACATGAGTGCTTCTTCACGTTTACTGTCTCTGCTACTACTTCTCGAGTGGGTTTGGATGGGGTATAACACGTAGTTGAATCCGATTTTGATTCGTCCTCTTTAGCACAATCCTCATTTGAGATCCATCTCATTTTTCTTTAACCCAATTTGGGAGATAAATTAGATGATTGGTGAATTTTCGGTTTGCAAGACCAAGTTCACACATTTCCTATTTATCGCACGCATTATGATGAGCAGCAATCTTCCTGGTCTCCTTGTAAGTTGTAACCCCTTTTCCCATGTCGAAAAATATACTATGTACTATCAACTATGCGGAGAGCTTCAAGCAATTATCGTTATATTAGAAGTCTCAATGCCGTGCGGAGGAGCAGCTCACGGTGAACATGCTGCCTCCCACAAAAAAAAAACGTGTTATTGTTCACGCGCGTGAACAGGAACTTTCTTTTTTATTTTTTCATTCTCCCAGTAGCATAATAGGTGTAACTCGCGTGTAACAAAATGTAATTCACGTTAATAAGAAATGTAACAGCAAGCAAGTCAAAATGTAATTTGTCTAATACGAATTATAAGAAATAAAACATTGATTTTAATAAAAACAAGGAGTCTAATTACTCAATTACTTTACTTAAATAGTTTATATGTTTTGTTTGTAATATTAAGAACATAATTTTTTTTATCTTCTTTTGCCAAAAAATCATATTTTTGGCCAAAAACTCATTTTATTTTTGCAAAAAAAGTAATTTTTTTAATTGAATAGCAGGGGTTAACATAAATGGTCAATATATTTTTTTAATATTAAGTCCATAAAAATGTTTTTAAAAATATATTTTTTGCCAAAACAAATATTTTTTTGGAAAACATTTTTTATTGCATAACAATGATTCTTTTGTTTCAATAGTAGGCTTTATGTTGTGATGTAATTCGTATTACAGAAAATGTAACTCGTGTTGATTGAAAATCTAACTATAGTGTATGCAAAATGTAACTTATTGAGGCAAACTCAAATGTAACTCGCGTATAGAAAGATGTAACTAACGCACAAGAAGATGTAA